TGTACATTCTGATACACAATATTGTTTTGTCATTTTATTTGAGGTTGAAATTCTGATATCTAATCTCATACATGTCTTCATCAGCAAAGGTATATATGTCCCCTAACTGCAGCACAGCCCCTAAATCCTCACCCTGCATTTTACCAATAGTTAGACATTTCACAGTGAGAGCAAATATGTCATCTGTCATATTGTTTGCAGCATGAAGACAAAGCTAAAAAAAAAAGCTACATTTGTAGTTACTATAGGACTTTTTTGCTGTGAACCTCTCCCACAAACAGTGAATTGTACCATTAAAGCTGCGTTCAAGAAGCTACTCTGTTTAATTGCTTGAAAGGCTCATTTGAAAAGGATATATCCTTCTTCAGGAAAAAGAGTTTTATTCCCCACTTCTTTTCAGTAAAAGAAATCATTCAGTGGTGTCCCCTCATGTGTCTGTTTCATCTCAAAGTGCGAGGGCTTCTAGGTGTGCGTCTCTGTGCACCTTCATTCATCAGAAACAAAAGGCTAAGTCAGAAACAATAAATGAAATGGAACAAATCTGTGGCCACTCTGGCTTTGAAATCAACGCCACCTCCGAATCCTCTTTCTACTCCTCTTTTCTGTAAACCATCCTTTATTTCACCTGTCTCTTTGATTTGGTCTATGTCTGTAGGCATCATTCTTAATTTCTAGTGGACACTTCAAATGATTTTTCCACACGTTCAGAGTTGCAGTGAGTGATGAACTGTCCCGAATTAGTAAACAAATATTTTGATTGCTTTTTCTACCAGTGGACTGAAGGCATGCCGATATAGTCAGGTGGTTATGCTGAGACATTGATGGGTGGGTTTTAGGGTAATGATAGAGTAGAACCCAGAAAATGTACAATACTACACTGTAAAAAATAATCCATTAAATGTAAAAGTGGTTTCCACTGGGCCTTTAAAAGTCTTAAATACATTTACATATTACATACTAAGCCTTAAATAGGTTTGAAAAGGTCTTAAGATCTTTAACGCTTCTTCTGCCGTGCTTTAAGATCAGTTTTTTGATATAATAGAGATGTTTTTCGGTTTGCATAGTTTGTAATGTCTCTGTGTGCTGTAGTTCTTTCTCGATGAACTTGAATTCATTAAGGTCTTAAAAAGTCTTAAATTTAACTTGAAACCTACAGAAACCCTGAAGAGTCAGGTCATGGAATTTATGTCCATTTATGTCCATACTGTATGTGATATTTTTCTGATGGCCTGATGTTAAAGACCTGGAAACTCAACACACAGTCCTTTTTCTCACTTTTATTTATTGCTCTGTCACGTCGGTCCTAGCTACCTCATCTTCGCCTCTCTGACCACCTCAGAGGGCTTTATGTAGGAAGCGTTGGTCTTCTAGTGTGTGTCATATGAGAAGGTGAATGTGGGTTGAATATTATAAATAGAAAAGATTAGACTGAGGGAGTTACGGAGAAGGAGGAGAGAGAGGAGGATGTGGGGAAAAAAAGATGATGATGACGAAGGAAAGCGGGGTGGTAGACACATGCATGGAGATGAAGAGAAGAGGAAATGTCTATTTTTAACAGTGGATGTTACAGAGAGGGGAATGTGATAGGCCTCTGGATCAGGACAAAGAGGAGGAGGAGAAGGGTTTTTGGCTTGTAGAGGCAGATTCATATTGACATTTATCTAACTGCAGTGTGGAGGAAATTCTACCCATCTACTGTATCCATCCCTCTGTTTGTCTGTCA